TATCTCAGCTCTGGAAGGGGCTAGAGCCTCCATTTTTGCACTCAGGTCTAAGTCTCATGGCCCTCTATCAGAATCCAGAGTTTTGGGAAGATTGGAGAAACTTAATTTTTCGCCCAAAAAAAAAAACGTAAGGGGTACCACTGTCGTTTTTTTTTTCGGGCCGAATTTTTGAGTTTCGATATCTCAGCTCTGGAAGGGGCTAGAGCCTCCATTTTTGCACTCAGGTCTAAGTCTCATGGCCCTCTATCAGAATCCAGAGTTTTGGGAAGATTGGAGAAACTTAATTTTTCGCCCAAAAAAAAAAAACGTAAGGGGTACCACTGTCGTTTTTTTTTCGGGCCGAATTTTTGAGTTTCGATATCTCAGCTCTGGAAGGGGCTAGAGCCTCCATTTTTGCACTCAGGTCTAAGTCTCATGGCCCTCTATCAGAATCCAGAGTTTTGGGAAGATTGGAGAAACTTAATTTTTCGCCCAAAAAAAAAAACGTAAGGGGTACCACTGTCGTTTTTTTTTCGGGCCGAATTTTTGAGTTTCGATATCTCAGCTCTGGAAGGGGCTAGAGCCTCCATTTTTGCACTCAGGTCTAAGTCTCATGGCCCTCTATCAGAATCCAGAGTTTTGGGAAGATTGGAGAAACTTAATTTTTCGCCCAAAAAAAAAAACGTAAGGGGTACCACTGTCGTTTTTTTTTTCGGGCCGAATTTTTGAGTTTCGATATCTCAGCTCTGGAAGGGGCTAGAGCCTCCATTTTTGCACTCAGGTCTAAGTCTCATGGCCCTCTATCAGAATCCAGAGTTTTGGGAAGATTGGAGAAACTTAATTTTTCGCCCAAAAAAAAAAACGTAAGGGGTACCACTGTCGTTTTTTTTTTCGGGCCGAATTTTTGAGTTTCGATATCTCAGCTCTGGAAGGGGCTAGAGCCTCCATTTTTGCACTCAGGTCTAAGTCTCATGGCCCTCTATCAGAATCCAGAGTTTTGGGAAGATTGGAGAAACTTAATTTTTCGCCCAAAAAAAAAACGTAAGGGGTACCACTGTCGTTTTTTTTTCGGGCCGAATTTTTGAGTTTCGATATCTCAGCTCTGGAAGGGGCTAGAGCCTCCATTTTTGCACTCAGGTCTAAGTCTCATGGCCCTCTATCAGAATCCAGAGTTTTGGGAAGATTGGAGAAACTTAATTTTTCGCCCGAAAAAAAAAACGTAAGGGGTACCACTGTCGTTTTTTTTTTCGGGCCGAATTTTTGAGTTTCGATATCTCAGCTCTGGAAGGGGCTAGAGCCTCCATTTTTGCACTCAGGTCTAAGTCTCATGGCCCTCTATCAGAATCCAGAGTTTTGGGAAGATTGGAGAAACTTAATTTTTCGCCCAAAAAAAAAAACGTAAGGGGTACCACTGTCGTTTTTTTTTTCGGGCCGAATTTTTGAGTTTCGATATCTCAGCTCTGGAAGGGGCTAGAGCCTCCATTTTTGCACTCAGGTCTAAGTCTCATGGCCCTCTATCAGAATCCAGAGTTTTGGGAAGATTGGAGAAACTTAATTTTTCGCCCAAAAAAAAAAAACGTAAGGGGTACCACTGTCGTTTTTTTTTCGGGCCGAATTTTTGAGTTTCGATATCTCAGCTCTGGAAGGGGCTAGAGCCTCCATTTTTGCACTCAGGTCTAAGTCTCATGGCCCTCTATCAGAATCCAGAGTTTTGGGAAGATTGGAGAAACTTAATTTTTCGCCCAAAAAAAAAAAAACGTAAGGGGTACCACTGTCGTTTTTTTTTCGGGCCGAATTTTTGAGTTTCGATATCTCAGCTCTGGAAGGGGCTAGAGCCTCCATTTTTGCACTCAGGTCTAAGTCTCATGGCCCTCTATCAGAATCCAGAGTTTTGGGAAGATTGGAGAAACTTAATTTTTCGCCCGAAAAAAAAAACGTAAGGGGTACCACTGTCGTTTTTTTTTTCGGGTCGAATTTTTGAGTTTCGATATCTCAGCTCTGGAAGGGGCTAGAGCCTCCATTTTTGCACTCAGGTCTAAGTCTCATGGCCCTCTATCAGAATCCAGAGTTTTGGGAAGATTGGAGAAACTTAATTTTTCGCCCAAAAAAAAAAAACGTAAGGGGTACCACTGTCGTTTTTTTTTCGGGTCGAATTTTTTGAGTTTCGATATCTCAGCTCTGGAAGGGCTAGAGCCTCCATTTTTGCACTCAGGTCTAAGTCTCATGGCCCTCTATCAGAATCCAGAGTTTGGGAAGATTGGAGAAACTTAATTTTTCGCCCCCAAAAAAAACGTAAGGGGTACCACTGTCGTTTTTTTTTCGGGCCGAATTTTTGAGTTTCGATATCTCAGCTCTGGAAGGGGCTAGAGCCTCCATTTTTGCACTCAGGTCTAAGTCTCATGGCCCTCTATCAGAATCCAGAGTTTTGGGAAGATTGGAGAAACTTAATTTTTCGGGGAAAAAAAAAAACGTAAGGGGTACCACTGTCGTTTTTTTTTTCGGGCCGAATTTTTGAGTTTCGATATCTCAGCTCTGGAAGGGCTAGAGCCTCCATTTTTGCACTCAGGTCTAAGTCTCATGGCCCTCTACTTCAGAATCCAGAGTTTGGTAGATTGGAGAAACTTAATTTTTCGCCCAAAAAAAAAACGTAAGGGTACCACTGTCGTTTTTTTTTCGGGCCGAATTTTTGAGTTTCGATATCTCAGCTCTGGAAGGGGCTAGAGCCTCCATTTTTGCACTCAGGTCTAAGTCTCATGTAAACACTGTTAACACGCTGTTGCGGTATCTTGTTTCTAATGTGCTTTGCTGATTGGGATCAACTGACAGTATGAACTTCACAACTGAAGCACAATGTGACATCATGTTCCTCAGCCGATCAATGCGCTTTCGTGACAGCTATAAATAAAAAAACTGGCGCCTTTGTGCCCCTGAGGGCTTATCGGATCAAGTGACTCATTGGACATCTTGCTGCTGTCTGCTTCATTTCTCTCTCTAAGCCCCTCTCTTACCGTCTCCCTCCACTGGTCTGCACCCCTCCCCCCTTTCTTTACCCCGTACAGAGCAACATGGCTGCCACCTAAGGGTCTGTGTCAGAACTGCTCATCATTGGAGTATGAAAGTTGTCCTTCCTGTGAGTCTAAGGGCTAGATTTACCAACAGCTTGCACCAGCACAAACCCTCTGTTGACATTAAAAAACTACTGTCAGGATTAAAGACATGCTTGTCTGTCCTCATTAACACTCTCACTGCCACTGACACGTTTATCTGGCAATCTGTATTATCACTGTTATATGGTAGGGGGCGCTGTAGGCATGGATACAAGATTGCTTAGCATAAGTAAGCTAACAATCAAACATTCAACAGCATATACCGGTACATCAAAACTGCCTAATGTTACCAAATGAAATGTTAAGCCCAAAATGTGAAAACGCAATTTTCTTAGCTTTTTGTTGTAAATGCCCACATTCAAGTGTTGAAGAATGACCACATTCAAGAATGAACGAAGCTATAAATGTGTTTTTGTTGTTGTTGTTTAAAAGCAGAGTAGTATTAGTCATTTATTGTTCGGCCTTAGCTAAAAATTGGTCTTTGGTCTCGCCATACAATTAACAATGCACAATATACATACATAATTCTATAGAGACGACGTGATGGCAATAATTCAAAAAATTGATTTAATGTGTGTGTTGTGTCTCTTGCTATAGTCAAAGCTTTCCTCTGAACAGCAGTTTGATATTAGCCTGACTACGTCAGACTTCCTACTTCGGCTAATTTCATTTCGCGAAGCAAAGTGAAGTAGCAGAGTCTGGTATTACCAGGCTAGTTTGATATAACTGTGCGACTGATTTTTGTTTAGATCCTATAATTTTTTGTAATTCTGTTCTTTATTTAGATATATCGACTTTTTATTTAAACAACTAAATATTCTGGGGGCCATGAAAGTTTTGTGAATATAATAAAAAATGCTGCTACTTGCTGGTAACTTTTTTAGAAAATGCTGGCGGGGAAAGAGTTAAAAGCAACGCAGAGACACACCACATTCTCAGTGAATGAGAACACATCTGATTTTATAAACGTTATATTTAATAAACTAATAATTTAATAAATTCAGTAATTTAATAATTGATATAAATTGATATATATATATATATATATATATATATATATATGAGTGTAGCCCTCAAACCGTATTCACTTTATAGCCTTTAATCCTGTAATTGTGGACAAATGTGGAATTGTGGACAACTCAGGTGGGATCGGAATTTTTATTTATTATAAATGTTATATCACTGTCTTCGATAAAGTTTTGTCTATCCATTTATGGTGTTTTTTTTATTTTGGGGGTATTTTTGAATTTATTTACTTCAAAAAGTACCATATTTTCTATGTAAATTATGCTTATTTGTATGTTTTATTTTTTAAAAAAATTTAACTACATTAAAATATCATTCCAATAAGTTCTTAGAGCTAAAACCTAAAGATGAAGTGACTTTGCTGTCACCTGGTGTCTTATTTTGGCTTATTTTAGAATACTCTAAATTACAGTTTTTGCCATTAATTTCTATGGGTGCCCATGTTTGACCCAAATACAAGATTAAGGAGTTTTTTTTTTTTTCACACACTTTACATTGTAGAATTGAGTCAAAAAAAATTGTGTGTGTTCAGGAGGCAAACTTAGTTAAAGTAGCCAAGTCTTGTACCGCTCAGATCAAGGGAAGTATTTTTTTAAAATAAATCAAAACTATTTTGCCCACATTTGTCCAGAATATGGTTTTAGGGATATATGTATATATAATAAAGCAAACTAATAGAGCTTTGTGGCCTATACAGAAAAAACAATGGATGGCAAATCATCTCAAATCACCTGGCATTGAAACGTGCATCAAAAATTTGTTTCTCTTCAACTAATTCAAGAGATTGATTCAGAATAGTGAACTGTTATCAATTAAGCAGATGAAGTGGCAGAGGTTAAATGATATTGAGCCCTCTAACTGAAGCAATTATGGTGTATTTTAACTTACTGTGTTAGGACTGTCCTCGGTGCACAGATCAGGAGGACGGGAAGATTCAGTCCCACAGCACTCCAGCTATGAATTAGGAACAGGCATTACATCCACACAGACACTACGGCCACAGATCATTTACTAAAATCAAATGCTTGACTGACCACTTTGTGATACATGGAGGCAATGGCAGTCCCGTTGTCATTTTCCAGAGTGGAGTCATAGTACTTTTGTACATCATTAATGATCTAGAAACACATGAGCTCATCATTACATGACAGTTCATTTCATATTTATGCTCAATTAAATGGTAGACAAGGTGCATGCAATACCTTTTCCTTATGCAAAAAGCCAAAGACTCCAGCAGCGACCTCTGCACCAAAGATCACCAGAAGACAGGCGAAAAACTACAAAAGAGACTTCTTTTTAGTTTTTCAATACTAATTGCAATTCAACAGGATCATATAACAAGAAGGTTATTTTCAAATATGTAAACACATTTTTTTTTTACACTGTGCACTGATGGGTCGAGCATAATGAGACCAGGAACATTAAGAAGAATGTAAAAAAAAAAAGTCCACATTGATTTAATGTTTAATTTAAATTCTTCAATGTTGACAATGAATTACTGTAATTTAAAGTAAGGGATTACTCTTAATTTTTCTGTAATTTAATTACTGTTACTTATGATGTAATTGCATTAAATATTATACATAGACAATAGAACAATTCTATATAAAACAATAGTGGATTTAACATAAAATGTTAAAAGTTTTTAATGTACAGTAACCTTTTTAAATACTTTGGTCAATTCAAGGATAATTTATTCAATTTATTATTATATATTTAAAAGAACTAAAAGCGCAGTTTCATGTTAATCTTTCTATTGTTCAATGTGGGATTTGATCTGGAAAATAATTAGTAATAATTAATGCAATACTTTTTAGAGAGAGTACTTAGTACAGTAATATAGAAACAGGGTGTTTCAGGGTATTTCTTCATTTATTAATGCGTAGTTTGTACTAGAGGTGTTCACAGGTCCACTTTGATCCGAAAACCCGACTTTGACAAGCACCTCAGACACGGGTCGGGTGTGATATTAGTAGCCTCTGGTCTTGGGCACTTTTAAATATATGTGCTTTTAAAGATTTAACCTGAGAATACCAGAATTCTTTCAAAATATCCCAACTTTTCATTATTGGTTTTGGCCGTTAAACAATATTTTATTATTTAAAACGAATGATTCTACTTTATTCGGGGCTTACTGTATATATGCATATATATCTATATGCAGTACCAAATCAAATGAACAAAAATGAAACCATAACTGTATATTTTGTTTTTTTTCCTCAAACAAAACAATTTGTCATACCCGGTTGAAAAAGTCCCCACTCAACAACTATGCAGGGCATCCGGTTTGAAAAAAAAGGTCTCGGTTCTCAAGTCTAATTTTCTAAGTTTGTCTTTTTTCTTTTTTTTTATTAATTGATGCGCATCAGGTTTGGCTAAGAAGTGATTCGAGTCGATTCGGGTCAGGTACAGATCTTAGGACCCGAGATGACCTCTAGTTCTTACCCACCGATCCCAGAAGACACTGTGACTCTCTCACGGCCCCAAAGCAACCGAAGAACCCCACCAACATCATGACACCTCCTGCTCCGATCAAGATGTACACCGCTGCGGGGAGAACAGAGAATAGTGTAAAAGTTAGTCCTGAAAGTAAATCCCAGAGTGCAGTTCATTTATATGAACAGCTGATGGCAGAACATGAATAGGTAATACAATCATTTATTAATTTCAACTGTAAAAGTTCTCATATACTCTAATACAGATGGCAGATAAAATAAAAATGAATGTGGACCCAGGTGTACTTTTAGATGACTGAGAGTGAAAGCAACTGATTCTAATTTTAATGAAGTTTCTGTATGAATTTCCTGACAGTCAAAATCAAAATCATCCTTTTGTGTTAGGTACTTTCCCATGCAATGTAAACTACAATCCAACATAAAAACACTTGTGTTTTGCACGTCTGTGCAGGGAAGTGAGAAGTTTGAGAAGGTGTGAATTGTGCCTCTTCGCGTATCTCCAACAGCCAGTGTCAAAGACCTCGGCTCAACAGAAAGTCTTTGTGTGAACAACAAATACAGACACCACAAGCTCAACCGTCGCCCTGAGGCCTTAATCGTGTTTACAGGCAGGATTTTATTTTTCCCAAAACAGTTAAGTGCAAATCTTACCATCATCTCGATCACACACACACATACGGTATACCTTATATACACATGCAATCAAAATGGTAATATATTTCATGCATAAAATGTGCATATTTTCATATATAAAGTATAAACTGATAAACCACCTAAAACACTCTAGCAATGCCCAACAGTTGCACATTGTGGCAGCAGGTTTTGCAGGAACAAACAGCACTCTAATTTTCTAGAGAAAATGTAAAACTGTAGTTAAAGACATAACATTTAAGGTCTATTTTGAACATTCATGATTACGGGATCTTCATGAATCATGATCTTGTTGTCATTCTCCTCGTCTTGCCAATTATCTCACCATAGCAACAATTCAGCCACCCCAGACGCAGGGCGCTGACACGTCTGCTGTGCCACACTCACTTGAGAACGCCGTTGCTAGGACGGCAGTCTCCCTCGCGATCAACTGCTTTCCCTTGCCACTTTAGACAAGCTAGAGCCATACTAATTAATGGAAAAAGAGAAACTAGAGCAAAATCTGAGGGCCTGGTGAAGCTAAACGCAGCTAAATATGCTACAATCCCTCTTTAACGCCAGCCGTACATAGCCTTGCACACAGGTTTACATTTCAAATACGACTCCACTGACATTTCCATCCTCGAAGGAGTCAAGGAGGCCAAAAGGCTTGCCAGACAGCACAGAGCTGAAGCTTTGCCAAGGTTTTATTAAGGCTAAAGGAAGACAAGTTTCACAACCCACAATAATTGTTCCCCGAGGGAGAAAATAATGTTGTTTTCCGAGGACAGAACAAAGGAGATTTGACGCGAGTCCTCTGTGAGTTAAGCAAGCTAAAAACACAGAGCCTCCTCTACTCTTGTCTTCCTAATTGCCAAATGGATGGAAAACAAGCTGACATTTCATATAAACAGCCCTCCTGCTTTCCTTCTACTATAAACACTGAACATCTCTAAATGGGCAGAGGCTCTCTCTTCAACATGCCAGGACTCAGTCAATTCATTACTTGAGAGCCCGGAAAATGGGCAATTGTTGTTTACCAATGATGCAAGAACATCAACAGCATGAAGATGAGCAAATGGAAAGCCTTGAGTCTTCTGCAAAGATGTTTACCCAAAGATCACATGCTGTCAGTGTCGACTGGAATTATAAATGCACAATATAGCAAGAGCTATGATGCAAAGAAAAAAGCACCCATGGGAAGTAATCTTAGCACTAGATAGAGTAAAATACTGCTAACTATACTGTCTACTCTAGGAGAAGGATGACACTTGCCAGCATCATACCGTAAAAATATGGTGTCTTACTGTTTTTGAAATTTACAGCTAAATACCGTATTGTCAGCTACAGTATAAAACTTTAATTTAACAGCTATATGCTCTAACACAAAAACAGTAACACACTGTATAGTTACGGTATGATGCTGGCAACCACAGCTGCCGGTAGTTTACCGTTTTTTTTTTTACATGATCACATTTCAGATATGTCCATATGATGCGGTTCTAAAGTGTGAGATGTTTTGATGCATACCGGCACTACAACCTGTAAAAAATAATCCTGTAAAAAAAAAACGGTAAACTACTGGCAGCTTTGGTTGCCAGCATCATACCGTAAAAATACAGTGTCTTACTGTTTTTGAAATTTACAGCTAAATACCGTATTGTCAGCTACCGTTTAAAACTTTAATTTAACAGCTATATGCTCGAACACAAAAACAGTAACACACCGACACCGTATAGTTACGGTTTGATGCTGGCAACCACAGCTGCCGGTAGTTTACCGTTTTTTTTACAGGATTATTTTTTTACAGTGTACCACTGAAATAGACCAAATTTCTTGTTTGATTTCACTTGCATTATTATTGAAATAAAAATGCAAAAGTAATGTGCATAAAATTACTTAAAAATGTGGTACAATTTTCACATACGGTATGAAGTACATTTTCACCAGTAATTCTTTACTTAGTTGATAATAGTCTAGTCTTTGAAAATATGGAATATAAAAAAGTCTAATGTTAGGATATTAGCTCGCTCAAAAAGCCCAATCATCCGATTACTGATGAATCACAAATTTATTTAAACATATTCTTAGATGCAATTGATTTTAAACCTTTTTCCCACCACTTGTGTGACTAAAATAAGTGCAATTTGCATCTGGTAAATACTGCACACTGAAACATCTTTAGTTTAAATAAATAAAATAGCTTCATACGGAAATAAAACATCTTAGTGTTATATATATAGAGGAAGCAGAGAATAAAATATGTATTTTTGCTGAATTCTTCATCTTGCTTCCTGTTTTTGTCTCCTGCATCTGCTGCATTAGCTTCATAGCACATAGTTGCTTGCCAAGTGATTTTCTTCTGTTACTGGGTAGAAACTGTTTGTTCCAAGCATAAACATATTGCCATGAAATGCTTGTTATCTTATGGTGTGCTAGAGATGAATCCACAGAGCGTCTCTCACTTCTTCTTTTTTTATTATCGCTCTGTCGCCGAGACATCATTGAAACGTTTCTGCCTTAGGTTATACCAGTGTTGATCAGCTTCAGTGTCTGGGTATCTCAGCACATGATGTCAAGACCCAGTATTTGCAATTTGTTTCATAATCATTGTGTTTAGCACTTGTAATGTAGTTGTTTGTCCATTATGAGAGCTTAGGACAGCAGTCCCATATCGATCCTCTCACTGCAGCAGGAAGTCAGGTTATAAATGTGCAAATAAATGTCCAGTTCTAGTGACACCCTGACCATTATAAATAAACCAATTACTGCATCACTCCTCTGCAAGACCAACGAGGTATATGTTGAGACCAGCTTTCCGACCAACAGCAGCTCACCAACGGCTACTCTGGGGAATAAATGGAGCTAAAGGGGAAATTACGTTATTATAATTAACCGACACCAGTTACACGCCTTCCCCTATGAGAAATCAGGCTTAGTATTAGCAAGAACTACCAGTGTCCCTGCTGATTCATCACAGCTAAAACCAATATCAGATACGCCATTACAGAGGCGATTAGGGCTCCATGATGCAGATGGGAAATTTCAGCTTAAAATTGCCATTGGAACCCGGTGCTTTGTTAAAAGGCATTGGTGTTGTGCTTATTTATGAAAATGTGAGGTACAGTATGGGTTTCTTTATGACAGATAAAGTACCATGGTAGAATTAATGCTGCAAAAGACAACGAGCGCAGCGCTGAAAAGGGGTGGGGCTACATAAGGTCTATATATAGCACAAAAAGGCTTGTGAGATCAAATCTGATTGGCTGGTTTTATGCAACAAAGGTCAGGGTCCAAAGGTTTATTTCATTCTTTGTCATGTTTACAAAATATTTTGCTCTGTTTTCTTAGTTTTTAGAGGGCAAGAAATTTAGATGACAAAGTCTGCACAAATTTTGAAATGACTAAATTGACTAAAATGAAATAAAAATAAATTAAAACTGCTGTGCACTCCTAAATGTTACAGAAAAAGAAAGGAAACTGTGGTTAGTCTTTTTATACTCAGTCACATGGCCCCTTTTTCCTATTCATACATTTACAGTGTAGTTTCCTCTCCTAAAAACCCCCAAGTCTGCTTTCATGACACTATATTTTGGGTTATGTTTATGAACCCTACAAAACTGTTATGTACACATTTTCTGTGGGCTTAAAAAAAAAATTTCCAACTCACCAATGAAGAAATGTTCAGGGGCATCATTCTCGGCTAAGAGGTTGGCCGTGTCGGGGTCAAACCTCAACCATAATCCCACAGCCAACACCACTGAGCCCGACAGCTGGAAACAAGAGTGAAACAAATCAGGAACATGTGCGCAAAAAAATTTCTTCACACTGTTTCTGTGACCTTTACTGGTACTGCACTGTCTATTTAGTTTCAAACGCATGAATGCAGGGTTTGACTTTGAGAACAGGATACTTTTCCCATCACTGTCACTGGAAGGATAACCTTGACTAAAATAGAGCATTGATTGTAATTCTGTAAGATAAAGTGTATTATTGTGATCCTGAAAACAACCTTTTGTCCATCTGTAAGGTCATCAGAGAAAGTTTGTTTTCCTTCTATTGTTATCAAGTCAAAGGGAAACCTACTAGACATTTTAAATTTACAAATTTTAATAGTGTTGTGGTCAATACCACCTAAACCGAGACCAAGACCAGACTAACATTCGACAAATTCATCTGAAAGATTCACATTTACTGCCTTATTATTAATCAACTAATCAACTACAACAACACTATAATAGAGCTGTTACTAATCAAATGAAAACACTAACAACAAAATTAATCTTTTCACAGCAGAGTGAAACAATAATGTTGAGATTAATGTTTTAAAAATAACATTTTGTTTATTGAACATTTGTCTCAAATCAGTATCACTTTTCAATTGTGTTGATATTTGTAAAAACAGCCCTCTTGCTCATGATATTGCTTAATTATCAAGTTATAATATAAATATCAAAATATCAAGTACTTTTCTACAATTTTGTAGGCATTTGTATTCTTTTTGGTGACATTTTTCACACAATTCCTTGTGCAAACAAATCAAATATAAAACAAATATAAATAAATACTTAAACTTATGCATAAGACTAGTCAGTGTTATATAAGTATTATTTTTATAAAATTGTGGCATTTATTAATATTTTGAATTGGCTTTTATTTTGAATTGTAGTTTAAGTTTTAGTAATTTTGCTAGGTGCATTAGTATTTTTTTTTTCTATTTAGCTTTAATTTAGTTTTATTTCAGCTTTAGTTGAATGATTTTAAGCTAAGGTTTGATTTCAGCTTTATTTTAATGAAGGGTTTAAATGAAGCTCTCTTCGTTCTTTAGTCTTTGTTGCTCAAAACCACACAAATCTCATAGGAACCATTCAAAGACCACATCACACTGAGATTTTGTCACTGCACTAATGGTCATTAGATTGGCTTAAATGGTTAGTGTAAGATGTAATTTAGGGCACAGTGGCTTCAGTCATTGGTTATCTGTAGAGTGGTTTCACTGCGCTGGACAGCAAGGCTTTTGTCTTTGAGAGGGCAGGCAAAAAAAGAAATGGGTCGTTGTCCTGTGCAGTTTAATGTTCTGGTGTTGCATAGGGTGGGTATGAGGGGGTAGGGGATGGCACTGGGGGATGGTGGATACAGCAGGACAAGTCCGTCACACTGGCACAGCCTGCCTGTTGATCATAGAGATGGGCACCAAAGTAGACCACAGTGGCCAAGATACTCAATCTACACCTAAAAATGTAATTGCACACAGATATTAACATTCATGATGTCAAAATTTAGTCGCCTTTGCAATAATATCCTGTTCCACAAAGATTATGCAGTCCTGTTTCACCACATAAGACAAAAAGTCATAAAAACTCAAAATTATGAATTTAAAAAGTTGAGATTAGCAGTCAAAAAGATGAGATATAAAGGTCATTTTGGATTTTTTTAAATCTATTAATAATTTGACTTTTAATGTCAACTGAATTTTTTGCAAGTGAGTTTTGTCATAATTATTATTAATATTTCACCATTTCAAAATTGCATATTGAGGCTGATTTAATTGAGCAAACATTAACTGTTGACTCACTGGAAAGGGTAAATTTCCAATTTTTGAGACTCCTCTTAAAGGGGTCATATAATGGTGCACACAAAAAAAAAAATTTCCGAGTCAATTCGTTTGTTTCATTTGTTGAATGAACCAAATGACTTGGAAAAAGATTTGTTCATTTTGATGAACGAGTTCAAACAGGAGAGTCATAAACGTGCGTCACAGAACAGAGCAAGGCGAGCATTTGAGCTTATAAAACTTAAACTTTGTTATTTATTAATTAAATCAGCGATCGTTTCACTTGATAAGACCCTTATTCATCGTCTGGTGTCGTTTAAACCCCATTGAACAGTTTGCAGTTTATACTGAAAGTGTCTTTTGGACCTTGAAACTGTTGGAGTCCATTGAAGTCCATTATATGGAGAAAAATGCTGGAATGTTTTCATCAAAAACCTTAATTTCTTTTCGACTGAAGAAAAAATGACACGGATATCTTGGATGACATGGCAGTGAGTAGCCTAAAATATCAGGAAAAGTTTTTTCAAGAGTGAACTATTCCTTTAAATGTTAAATAGGCAGAATAAACTTGCATTATTAGAAACATAATGCATGTTTGCTCTCCTAACCTTTTTTCCTTTGTTCTTTTTGCATAGGTAACATTGAGAGGCCAAGGGCATAATGTGGGTTTAACACCAGGTAGGTGAAATAATAGGTAAATGTTTAGTCAACTTTTGTGCATAGATCTTAGGAGATTAATGGTCTCTGTGTGTGGAACAGCAACTGTGAAGGTTTCCGCTTTTTAACATAACGTGTAAGGAATTGCTTCAGTAAGGGGACTGCCCCCAAATGCTTAAAGACGGCCCCAACTAAACCATATATAAGTTAATGCTTCCTGCTTCCCTGGGACTCATTTTTCAAGGTGAAGACTTTTGAATTTGTTGTCTTTGTATCATTCTGAAATTTTTTGAGTAAATAAAACCATATATCTGGTGATTCAAAAACCTTTCAAAATCAGTCTCAGGGTGATTTTTTTCCTAGAAATATCTTTATCTAAAATTGCATATTTATACTTGTCATATGGTTGAAGGAAACCCACAAGGGGGCAAACAGGACTGGAGGAGAGTACACCTTAACTAAGACAAGAACATAAATGAAAAGTAGATGCTGACTTGATGATGACTAGATGAAAAACACTGACAAAGTACTCACAGGACTGTCACAGCGAGTGACACACAATGATTGACAATGCACCGACACAGGACAGCAAACACAAGGGATTAAATAGGGAGAAACTGATCATGACAGCAGGTGACACTGGTAAAGCAATAATGACAAAATGAGGAGAACAAGGGGGCGGGGTAAAGTGACGAGACAACAAGCACATGGCCCAAACAACAGGCCATGCGCTTGTACACAAAACATGGGTCTGCCATTCTGCCACAAGACTAGGAAAATCAAGGACATGATGGCAGAATCATGACAATACTAAGCAAAAGCGCTGTGAAACGAATCCAGGACTGAGCTGAAGTGGACACCGCTGAGGACCCTGGTACATCTTTCAACACCACTAACCATCAGATGAGCGCATAATAAAATGTAATAGGTTGTATGTGAATGGCAGGGCTGCCAACTCTCACGCATTGAGCGTGAGCCTCACGCAATTGAGCCAATTCTAACGCTCTTAAGCCACACCCCCGATTTCTCAGGCTAAAGTGTCAGGCCGGTCGGTAAAAGGTACTCCGATTTCATCCACTACGGGTTTTCCAGTCTCACTCACAGGAAAAACTGCTCCGTGTTCAATCGATTTTAAAAGATAATCTTATGTTTTATTTTTTTATATATCACAAACGTCTGAATTTATAGTAGTATATGTAATGGCTTGGAAAGTATTCTACACGTTTAATACATTTCCCAGCTGCCTTTGCTTGCACAAGCAAGCGCACTCAGGTAAAAAGAACAATTTTACAAATTCTACGAACAACTTTGTTTGCCAGCAGTTAATAATAAAAAATATTATTACTATATATATGCCGCACGCGCACGACGGCAGAGAGGTATTAAAGCAACCTGGCCGCACATGTGGAGAAAGCGGAGTAGTAGGGGTTACCATCCTCTTTTTCAGCAGTCGCCATTCATTGTTGACATGCACACCTTTTGTTTCAATCTAACTGAATTCATTCTGATTGGTGAATCTGAATGTAGTGCTAAACAAGTGATCGGTTGATGTGCGTTTTAACATTGCTAAGAAAATTCCCGCTCCTCCGTGTGAGATATGAGACCGGTAACTTACGTCTCAGGTGTCTCTCATCGGTAATCACGCCAGCGGCCTCGCGTCATTCTCCACACGGCCCTCAGTCGTCCTGCTCGCCGCAGTAAACATAATGAACAGCGACTGTAGAACGCAAAAGCCGAATCCCGGACATTTTGGGCGATCTCGGAACACATTTTTGGGCAGATTCATCATGGAGACTCACTAGTAGCCTAGACTTGTTGTTTAACTACTGCGCTCTACCGGTAGGCGTGTGCCTCCTAGGGCAGTGAAGCAAGTGCATTCTGGGAGTTGTTGTCTTTCATCCACATAAGCCAAAAATACATTTTCTGGCTTTTCTCAGTCTAGAAAGCTCCAAATTCAAAAAGAATTTCACATTTCTTCTACATAAATGACCCATTTTAAATACACATTCATCTTTCCAGAGGTGAAGTATTCCTTTAACCTCTTGAATATATTTACTTGAATTAAAAATCTTTAAAAAAAAATATTGCAACCATAACAATGAACCCAACATAGTTACCTGGCAATTAGAATACTCTTTGACAAAGGGGTTGAAAATAAAATAAAAAATGAAGAGGATATTTACCATAATGTCTCAAAATATCTGCCGCAGAAGAAAAAGACCACATGATGATGGTCATATGGTTTTTGGATAAACCATTATTTAGATTTTCGTGGTGTTCAGTTAGTAACATATACTGTAGTTGACAGAATTTTTTTGCTTATAGTAAAATTAAACATTTATGACATTTGTGAAGATTTATAGAAAAAATATAATCATCATCATCAATGTACATAAAATGTACCCTAAATTATAGAATGATACACATTCAGCTTTAGGATCCACCCAGTACTTTCTATGACTTGACTGAAGGAAATCACATTAACCTGAAATTATCGTAAATAAATAAGAGCAAATCTGTTTATTTGTCTATACGCGAGTTTTGTTGAAAATGTCACAACAAACTGACACTCTGTTAAACATTTGTCACTCTCAGCTGGTGGGGTGTACTAGAAAATGACTCCAGGAGCCAAATAAAACATTGAGACACTGTCCACAATGCAAGTGGATGGATAGAGGGTCAAAAAAAACAAAAAAACAATAAGCAACCAGTTTTCCTATGGTATGGTACAGTTAAAAGTTAACTTACATACAGGCGAGACTTGGCCTATTCTTTAGAAGTGTGGTTTCAAACACCTGGTTAGAACTAAAACTAGAATAATTTCTGCACCTAATTAAAATGCAAAACAATTAAACACAATAAAACCACAGAAATGATTCAATCATGAGTCAACTAATGAAGGTTTTACTATTTGTATTTACCGTAAAAGCCAATAAATATATGTATTATTTAATAAATAAATTACATTAAATGAATAAATACAGATATATTGTAGTAAATGGCTTTTCAAAATAAGGTACTTTAAAATCAGTGTCGATAAACAATAAGTTTCCGTTGAGAGTGAGACATGCTGACACATATCCACGCTAAAAATATTCACTAGAGAAAAAAAAGAGTGCAACTTCCCCCGTTCTTCCCTTATACCGTCTATGGTTCTTCCTTATAACCCATGGATACTAGTATATAAATATACCGCTTCCCTCTAACATAGGCACACTGTGGCTGTGTTTCAAAATCTACTGTCTATCTAGCAGACAGCATTTTTGGGAGGCATCAGTGCCGACTGCACAAATGATGCTCAAAATGTCTGCACGTGCCTATGAGGCTCGAAAGTGTTGTCCAGATAGTCGACTCAATCGGTATTGAGACAGAGCCGACATCTGTCACCTGTTTATAGTTTAAAAACATCCACATCCTAAATGTGTTTCCGTTGTTGTTGTTGTTGTTGCTAGACTTCATAGAAACCAGTATCATGCGAAATAAAATAAAAAATTGTGCCGAGACAGAAAAATCATCCTACATATGTTGAGCAACTCATAGAAAACAAGGCGACAGCAAATGCACGTACACTCAAGTCAGTGCATTTCATTCTAGATCAAAGCGTGTATGTGTGACATCATCGTCACGCAGATAATATCATCATCATCATCAGCACTGTTCGCACTTACCCAGAATATGAAGTTGAAGACGAACAGCAGGTATTTGACACATTTCATGCCGCCCTGTACTTTGCTCATCCTGCCTGCCGTTTCGTTTCGCGCGCTCGCCGTTTGGACCAAAATGTTTGCGCAAATGTGCAGGCCTGTCTCAGAGATTTAGGTCAGTAATATTATTCAAGCAGAATCCACAACACCAACGCTGTTCGGTCGCATGCACAGTGTGAGAGAGAGCGAGCGCGCGCGCGGATCAGCACCGCCCATTGGTCCAACAGGACACGGGGGCGAGGGCAATGCTTCCTTCCCGCGTGTTCCTTAATGTGGAGAATGATTGTCAGTTTACAATTGCTTTAGGCATTATGGTTGAAACTACAGTGTAATGTAACGCCTTCGTTATGTGGTCAGACATTCAGGGTATTATTTGTTGAGTATCTTTCATAAGGCTCACTACACAATGAATCTGTCACAATCACTGTCATCTCAACCACCATTGTCTGTGGTCTGAGGTCAAACTCAGGACACAATGATAATCTTGAGATAATCTTTCGCACATTTTCATTAGAGACTGTCATATTTATCCAAACCCGTGGGAGTTTGAGTATTTATACATAGAAATGTAAATATATCAGGCTTTATATTATATATAAATTATATACTTGTTCATATTTAGTTATAGGGTCTTTAACCTTCCCTATTTGGGTATGAATGTTAAAGGGATACTCCCAAAAAATGAAAATTCTGTCATCATTTACAAACCCATTGGAACAGTTGTTTGGCACCATTGACTTCCATAGTAGAAAAAAATACTATGGAAGTCAATTGTGGCAAAGTTCCAATCGTTCTTCAAAATATCTTCCTTTGTGTTCAGCAGAAGAAAGAAACTGCAGGTTTACAACAACTTGAGGGTGAGTATAGGAAATGAGGACAGAATTTTCATTTTGGGTGGAGGATCCCTTTAAAATGCTTTAATACAATGATGACAAAACACAAGTGGTGCCAACAATGAAAAGATCAACAATGATGAGCTTGTGTTTATAAAACATTATTAAGCTTGAGCGAAGCCTATAGGCGTTGACCATTATCTGAGTTCATCATACAGCCAGCTAAATGTCAATAAAGTCTTCACATATAGTACTGAGGACACAAACAGACGTGAATCTAAAGTAGAAGAAGACATATCTTTAAAATTCACCCAGCATTGAGTTATGGTCTGAGGACAAATTGTTTTATGGGTAATAATGATTGATAATTATTTAAAATCATAGTTAGGCTAATAAAAAATTATTGTTTTCAAAGTGGAAACGCTTCTATTTTAAAGATTTCATCGAACATGGTTTCCCGTGAATCAAGCACAACTTTAAAAGATTAAGCAAACAGCCTATAGAGCTGCAATAAAATCATGTCATGGGGAATAACGAGTAATAAATAACGTTACATTAATTTAACTCCAATTTCATTGAGATACAAGAGCAGTGCTCCCTCTTGTGATAATATATGTAGGCTATAGTTCAAACATGTTCAGTGTTGTACAACAATAGAAAGTAAAAGTACAACTGAGTGAAATAACATCTCAAATAGAATGTCTATTAAACTTTAAACTTTGTTCTCTCACTCATATTACAGAGGAAAATGCAAACAGTCATCATCCTGGAAAGCGTAAGTGAGCGAATGAACCACTAGGGGGCGACAGTTGTTTGTATTTGAAATGAATCGCTCCATCCCGTGCTGTTTACTGTCGTACTGTACACCTTATCACTTTACACATACACAGTCATATCTCGATTTATGTGAATGTAATTAGGGAATCTTTAACATTTCTAAAGACAATAAATCCTACATTGTAGTACGCATGCTGAGGGGTGGCCGTATCCTTGTTTGAAATCTCCACAGCGTGTCAGTTCCATCCACAGTTCATTAATTCTGTGTGAATTAAACAAAAGGGCTTCTCTTGGATTTGTCACAGCAGACTCTCCATAGGGAGCTGTCCTACAAACAATCAGAGACAGGCATGTTCGTTCCATTTACATCAGCGTGAGGAAAATTCTCTCATTTTTAATCCGAGTAGGCCTACAGAACTGTTTGAAATAGCCGATGACCACAAAACATCATCTAATGAGAGCAAGCAAATGAGTGTGTGAACGTGATTTTGTTTGAAATGACGACCCCTTTTGACCCGCACTATATCGCTAAACAAACACGTGCTGATGAAGGGCTCATTTGTGGGTGATGTGATATAAACCTAACAATCCTGTTGAATATTTCCACCCGAACTTTGACGCCTGACCTCGCAGACTTAAGCCTGGGCTTTCAGGCTTTCAGACATGACCTCATCATTTGGCCATTCACCTGACCTTGCAATGTGGTCTCCCTCTGTTTACGTAATCAAACCTGAGGTGAGTGTCGCAGGCCGCGGCCCATCTGTTTTTTAAGACTTCCACGTGCAGCCTAAACAAATGTATTCAGAGTCTGATTGGAGTGACACACCTGTTTGTGGTTGTTAGAATTGCGTTTTAACGATTTTCACTCTCAAGGCCAGTTGCATCATGTGGAAGCCTCTGGAAGGAGAACATCTAATGCATTCCAGCGTAAGTCCGTTTCCATGTGTGAGAAGCACATCTGTTGAGACATGAGGTCGAACCCACCAATACATTCAACAAACTCTCCAGCTTACTCAAAGCTTCTGACCAAATTTGCCCTAACCGTTTTTTTTCTGCCACATGGTTGAAGACCATGTCTGAGTCACTGGGTTTTTTTTTTTTTTTTTTTTACACCAAAACCAGACTTTAGCTTTAACTGAGGTCGTTCAATGGCTTTTTTGGGCTTCAAGCACACTGGAAAATGTTTAGGGTAATATGCTAGATTAAATGTAATTTAGGCTCTGTCAACAGCTTGGCATGCGCTCAATGACCACAGAAAACAATCTGGACATTCCTTAATGTTAAAAAATCAAATAATTATACATTTAAAAGCAAAGGGATGAAAGTCATTTATGTTACAGTTACTTGCATGAAGTAAATGTATGAGGTGGAACTAATTTTCTAGTTAGATAAAGTTCTGGTTATACACTACCACCAACATAATCACTGGTTTCCTTCCATGTCCATTTCTTGTATTCTTGCACAAATACCAAATGCAGGTTAAACTGGGTTTTAAGGTGAAATACTTACGATAGGAACAGAAAATTATGAATAATTACAAGTAACTAGTCCAAATCAAACCCTAACAATAACTCTATATAGTAAGTACTTAATTGATATAACTCATTCAGTACTTATTTGATGTAACTAGGGTTCACTTTACTTTAAGGTGTATTTGTTACAGTGTATTTAAGCAATGAGTAATAATACTTAACATGTACTTACTATAGGGTTAGGGTTGGATTAGGGTTTGGTTGAGGGTTCATTTAATGTAATGTACTATGGTAAAAAAGTGGTAAAATATGTGATAAAAAAGTACTACCAAATAAAGAGTAACCTTAACTTTTTTTTTTTTTTACCAGGGTGATAAGCAAATCTATCAAACCAGTGTCTTGCTAACATGTAATGTTTGAGTGTTATGATTTTACAACCAAAATAATTGTGCAGGATTTTCGCTAAATAATAAATTCAATTTTGGGGCATTTTTCACCAAACCCTATCATATGCCCTCAGAACATTTGGGAAATAATGACTGAATTCCCATTTTTTGCTTGAACTGTCCCTTTAACCATGCTTATCCACTAGGCTTCAGTAAGTGTATCATAGAACACACATTTGCTTAATATGACACATGACTTTTTGAACTTTTGGAAATTGACTGGCGAGCTGTCTTCGAAAATATGTTGACAAGTGGTCGGAGGAGCCAAAAATAAAAGTCCAATCTATAATAAAAGAAACATGTATGAGGAAGAAATTTAGTTCACTTTTGTTAACATCCAAAAATCATCATTTACTCGCTCTCATGTCGTTCCAAACCTTTATGGCTTTTTTCTTCCACAGAACAAAAACAGGACAAAACGTCAATGCAATTACAATGAATGTACTGAAGGTTTCAAGTAAGAGTAAATCATGACAATTTTAATTTTAAGTTGAATTCAACCCAGAACGTTGCTTTAAAAATGCTAATATGCACACTAACGACCCACAATAAACTTGACAATAATGCTGCAGTTTAATAAATAACAATTACCACACACAAAAATGTATGTACATGTTCAGGTAGGCCTACTGCTGCAAAAGAAAACAGTTATTTAAAAAAGACAGAAATGCATAAAAAAGAACTGAACTCCTATCCTCCTAGACGGTATATTTTATGTCACATGTTGTTATTAATGGTTTGCTGTCCACCATCCCATGGAGGATTTTGGAATATCAAGTTTGATATCATAAGGCTTTTGCTGGTGTATTCAAAAGCAACCAGTTCGTCATTGTCTCCAAGACTTTCGGCTCAGCACACACACACAAGCTACATTGATCCTTATGAGTCTCCACGCCACCAGGTTCTTGAACGAAGTCAGCGCTCGCACGAACGTGTGCGAATTGGTGCAGTATGAGTTCCAATGGCGCGCATCGATTCCCAAACACCCAGAACCTCCGGTCCGCCCGCTGCTGCAGGTCGTCTCAAAAAAGTACTGCTTTTTCTTGGAGTTGTTGATGATGACGTCAGGCAAGACGGTGACCTCGTTGCCTGACATGTCCGTAGCTTTGGTTTTGTTTCCCTCCCAAGTGCTGACGCTCTCACAGACGGAGTAAACGCCGCGGTGTTGAGGCGGTCCTGCTTTCCTCTTCGTCCTGCTCCTCATCCGGTGCCCAGTGGGCTCCGAGTCGGGGGGGTGCTCGCTGAAAAGTACGCGGGGCGAGCGGTACCGTCTCTTGTGGAAGAGTTTGGGATCCACGGTTGGCACAGGGATGGCTGTGACGTCTTGTCCGTGGTGGTTGTTTTGTAGGCAGATGTCACCTGGGCGCTGGGCAAACATCTGGCTGCAGGACAAGAGCAGCAGGGCAAGCATGGACCACCGCATGGGTTCAACGTGACCTGAGTACAGCACAGATTCATGTTAGGTTTGATCACACAGAATACCAGCATGCACACAAATACGATGCCAAATTTCTTCTGCATTGTGATGCACAGATGCTTTGGCTGATATAGGTATTATGGTAGATAAACTATGATATCTGTAGATCTAAACCAGATTTTTCCACAAACAGCTTCATAATCACGCGCCCCCAACAGACTAATTTCGTCATTAGTCATTTTGCACCCACCACTTCTGGAAACATTGAGGCACGGATGTACCTAATACAAATAAACAGCCCATTCTCATCCCAAGGCGTCATATAGTGACGCTTTTGACAATGCGTATACATCCAACGCACATGGCACCCTTTAGCGTCAATATGAGACGCAGATATATATGGGGCAGAAGGCGCCTCCTAGTGGTCTAACCCTAACCCTACCCCAGACCTAAACCTACCCATAACCGAAGCGTGTTATATTGACGCTAAAGGGTGCCGTGTGCGTTGAATGTATACGCATTGTCAAAAGCGTCACTATATGATGCACTCGGATGAGAATGCGTAAATAACTAGCAGAGCATTCATTTAGTTTGCACTTAAATAAGATATCTAGCGCTAAAATGTTTTGTTTTTAAAATCATGGATACAGTGTTCTCTTGTGGCTCGTGCAGTCTTCACTCGGACGTCCACTGTGTGCACTTCAATCTATCGCCGTTGTGGAGACTTTATTCATTCCGGTGAGATCACAAAAGAAAAAGCACACAAACATGTCCGTGCTTGATATAGACCGTAACCACTGATGAACATATTCGGTTTTGATGAGAGGAAAAAAAATATACAGAGGGCGGATTAGAACCCGTAACCTCTGACACTCTTGGCAAAAGATCGACCACTAGACATTGAAAAACTCAAACATATTTGCGGATCGATGCATTTATTTACGGGTTGAGCAGAAAGGCTGCACGGCACTTTTGAAAATGCACTTCCGAATGTGTCTTTGTCCCCAGCAAATTTCAAACCAAACTGACGCCGGTGCTCCAATCTAGTATTTGAGACTAGATTACTGTAATGCTTTATTAGCTGGTTGTCCTGCATCCTCAATAAACAAGCTACAGTTAGTACAAAATGCAGCTGCTAGAGTTCTTACTAGGTCAAGAAAATATGATCATATAACACCGATTTTATCATCTCTACACTGGTTACCTATTAAGTTCCGCATCAACTACAAAATACTACTACTGACCTATAAAGCCCTAAATGGTTTAGCACCTATGTACTTAACGGACCTTCTTTCGCCCTACAATCCACCGCGTTCCTTAAGATCACTAAATTCAAGGCTTCTGGTCATTCCTAGGATATCGAAGTCCAGTAAAGGAGGGAGGGCGTTCTCGCATTTAGCTCCAAAACTCTGGAATGGCCTTCCCGATACGGTCCGAGCCTCTGACTCGCTGACACAGTTCAAAACTAGATTAAAGACGCATCTCTTTAGTCAAGCATTCACATAATGCTTACCTTCTAGTCCTCTGTTATGCCATACGGAACCGTTTGCCACTGAAACTGCTTAACGCACCAGTGGGGCTCGACAGCCTTTTAGACAAACGGGTCGGCGCGTATGGTTGGGTTGCGGAGAGTTCGGGTTACGGAGAGTTTGTGAGTTATAACGGAAATTATTATGAACATCAGCTATGCTAATTATTTCCCATCTGCCTTTCTGCTGTTATCTCGGGACGCTTGTCCCGAGAAAAATGGCGTTCGTCAGGTCCAGTTTTGTGTCCAGCCTCTCACGGGGATTTCGGATGCCCAACGCCTGTGATGAGACGACTCAACGCCTGTGATGAGACGACTCAACGCCTGCGATATGTTATGGCGCCGTTTGATTCATAAACAATATTTATATTTAATATTTATATTTAAACAATATGAATGTAAGCCAGAGGAGAACTGGCCCCCGACTGAGCCTGGGTTCTCCCAAGGTTTTTTCTCCATCCAATCTGATGGAGTTTTGGTTCCTTGCCACTGTCGCCTTGCTTTTGGCTTGCTTTGAGCTTGCTCAGTTGGGGTTATTTATTTAGTGTTTAGCAATGTTGTTGATCTGTGTTGTACTACTTACATGTTATCACTGTGAAGCTGCTTTGATACAATCTGTATTGTGAAAAGCGCTATATAAATAAATGTGACTTGACTTGACTTGACTATTTTACATGCATGCTGAAATATTTGTGAGATTTTTTTCCTTTCTTTTTTTCAGGCACTTCTTATTGTCAAGTAGTTTTTGTTTTATACTGTATAGACAAAAGTGTACTGTATATCTACTTTTAATACTAGCCAATTCATTAATTGAAAATAATGCATATTTATTGCACTGATGGTCATATATTTAAATAATAAAATAACGATGAAATATTCAAAAAAAGATTTTTAGCTGCAGATGGTGTCATATATATTTAATACGTCAAAATCGGTTTAGTTTAATCAGTTTTAAGAATCCATTGTCCAATTTAACAAAGCTTTTAATAAAAATAACTAAAAATATTTTAGTCTCCTAACCTGGATATTGTGACACGACTGGTGATATCATATTGATTGGTAATATATTACATAAACCACAGAATATTGATACTTCAAAGAATACTTTAGTATTGACATTGTCCAAAAAAAACCCCAAAAAACATTATAGTATCATGTTACCATGTCCAAATAACTCCAAAACACGTTTTGGGTATTTTCTTCATTGAATCTAGGAGCTGTGATATAATTGGCATTATATTCAAGCAGTAGAAATGCCTCATACGTGTGTTTCAGCACAGCCTGAACGAACATCTTTAAACTACCATGGGATACCTTTTGCTTTCTGGACATGGATTTTTGAAAATATGAGACTTATGTGCTTTTTATTCAAGTAATCTTGTACTGTTTACCTGTGAAATGTATCCAGGTGAACTGTTTTCTCCTGTCTGTCTTTAGCGTAGATCTCCTGTGCTCCTCATGGTACATGTATCGACCAGCGTGGCATCTTCTGCTTCCAGCTCCTCTGCAAAGATGTAGAAAAAAAGTAGGAAGCAAGCTATAATTGTATATAATTACTATAAATACCATCAGTGTTGGGTGTAACTAATTACTAAGTAATTAGTTACTGTAATTTAATTACTTTTCCCTTGAAAATGTAAAGTAAGGGATTACTCTTCATTTATCTGTAATTTAATTGTGATGTAATTGAGGTAAATACTGTGTATAGATCAATCCGATCTCACAGAGAATTGTATGCATTTTATGAGGTGTCTACATCGTACGACCGCACTCGTACAAATTCATATGAATTATTGTAAAATATGTATGAAAAAAAGTGTGAAATGTCATGAGATCAGACATAAAACAATAGTGGGTTTAACATCAAAATGTATTGTCTGAAGTTAAAAAGTATGTTTTTATAATGCAACCTTCTCCACCTTGGTCAGTTTAAGGATAATTCATGCAATTTTATAGTATTTATTTGAAAGAATTAAAACAGATTCATGTCTATCCTTGTATTATTCAACTGGTTGAGATTGAAATGGGATAGTCAAAGTAATTAGTAATTAAATGTAATTAAATACATTTTAGAGAGAGTAATTTGTACAGTAATCTAATACATTGTTGAAGAGGTAATTAGTAACTAGTAATTAATTACTTTTACCCAACACTGAATACATAATACATATGCAGCATTAGAAATCCCGATTCATTCTAGGTAATCAGTTCATTTGAGCAGATTTACAAAAATGATTCAACGTATTAGCCCTTTTTCCTGAAGACAAAAATCTAAAGTTGCTCTCAATGACGTCTCACAGCTGTCAAGCAGAAACATTTCTCACATTAAAGAGATCTCCAATTACTTATTTCTTTCCTATGGGAGAAACACCTCATCTGTCCAAATACATTCCTTCCACTGGTGAAACGCCGGGAGAACATCATAGGCCAAGCTTCAGTCAATGAAAACATCTTCTGTGAGTGATCTAGTAATCACTGTCAAATTACTGTTCAAGCGTGACACGCGCAGACAAACAAGACAGACCAAAACCCCAAACGTGACACACATCAACAAACGCCCCACACCCACACGCCTTGCCACAACAACATACACAAACCTCCAGTAAATTGCTTTGGATCGCACAGCCTTTCTGTGTGGCTTGTCTGAGAAATCCTCAACCACTGACCTCAAACTCATTAGCTGTGATAGAGACAATTTAACACGTTCCGTCTGGCATAGCTGGTGTTATCACGCTGACACAAAGAGCCGAGCCAGGCGGTACTCTCCTTTCAAAACAGTCTGCTTTCATATGGTAACAGTTCCTGGGTGGCATGAGTTTCAGCGTGTAACGTGAGCCCTTCCCAAGCGCACATACACCTTATCTCCAGCCTCCACAGGGCTATGGATTCAAACAAGCTTTCTCTAAGCACTCATGTGTGGCAGAGCTCAAGGATGAAGCATGGCTTTGTGCTGTGGCAGCATTTGCTTTAGTGCACACTGAAGACTGTCACATACAGTAGCATTACATAAAATGAGAATCCTCATGGTTTAGGATGAGGTGAAAGGGCGGGTTCGGACCATCCTGCAACAACAAAAAAAGAAGTTAGGTTCAAATGACAAACAAATTATAACAAAGTAATATGTTATTATATATTTGTTTGTCATTTGAACCTACACTGTAAAAACATATTGTTGGTTTAACTTAAAAAATAAGTAACCTGGTTGCCTTAACATTTTAAGTTAATTGAAAAAAATGAGTTAATACAATGAAGGAGATTGATTTAATCATCAGAAACTCAAAATATTATGTTATCTGAACCACAGAAATTATTTAAGTTGATTTGACAAAAGAAAAAATGTTGTGATTACAAATTGTTGTGATTTTTTTACAGTGGATGAAACTTATATGCAATAAAGTATTACCCAGATGAAAAATATTGTTGGTTTAACTTAAAAAATGAAGTAACATGGCTGCCTTAAAAATTTAAGTTCATTGAAATGGAAAAATTGAGTTAATACAATGAAGGTGATTGATTTCATCATCAGAAATGTAAAATATTATGTTATCTGAACTACATACATTATTTAAGTTGATTTGACAAAAGAAATAATGTTGTGATTACAAATAATGAAATTATTTTGGGTATTTTCATACTTTATTGAATTTAAGTTTCATCTGACTAGCTTCTTTTTTGCAAGTTTTTTATTTTATTTTTACAAATCAAATAAAATATTTGACCATATTTTTCAATAACTTTACAATAACATTTTTAATATAATTTGACAATGTTATTACAAATTTATAAATAAATATATCACATTACATAAGCATACATATACAGTATATATATATGTATATATATATATATAATGTGTGTGTGTGTGTGTATATACACCTTATATATATCACAATTTCAAAATGTAGAATTAATATTATATATTTATTTAATATTACTTATTTTTCATTTTTAAATGATCACAAATTAACCCTTTTTATATATAACATTACATATACTTTTTACATATATATAGCTACATATAATATATACTTTATTATATTACAACTTTTGTTACAAAGAAAATTGTAAAATATTATTTATATTCTAAAGAAAACAGAAGTGAATGCTAGGCTTTTGTGGGTTGTTCCTCAAACAGAGCCCTGGTCTCTATTATTTTCTGGTTTCTAATATGGCTTGGATCATTGCTTCCATGAAATTCTATAAGATTTCCCATTTGTTTTATCCCCTGCCAGAGGGAAATCATAAATATCATGGCAGTATTAGTACAATAAGTTGTATAGTTGCAGGGGGAGATATGTTCGGATATAAAGGACATTTATCTAAAGGCAGTTATGGTTAGCACTGAAGTCAGACAGTGAATAAAAATAATGATTCAAGTACAGTATTTCATTGCCAGCATCATTTATCAATGTTTCACTGTCAAATTTATGGTTGTTAATAAAACCAACCAAGGACATAATGAACAGAAACACACTCTCATACACGCATACAGATGGCTGGCTGGATGAGCTCTGTTATGAGAGGGTGTAAAAGGCTTATTGCTGGTGTTATTGACATCAGACGATGATGAATCCAGATGGGGGAATTATAACTGGATATACCTTCACATACACATGCTGTTAGCAATTATACAAAGATATCATTTCACAAACCACATGATTTACATGGGAAAAACACAACCTAACCCTAGCTATTAAACTATGATGAGTAACGCCAATTTGCTACAGACATAAATGATATCATGCAGCTCAGTGACGAAAGATGTGCTTTTATGAAGTTCTTGGGGAAAGCCCTCTTTCCAAAGATGAAAAAAACGAGTTATTGTTTTCAGAGTGATGGTGTAATATTTAGGTCATCGCTGTTATTGAATGCAGTCATGACTACGGTCTTCATTTTGGACACCATTGGCCATTGAGGCCCATGATGATGAAGTGTGACATCACTGAAACAGATACGGTTACACATTCCTGGATGGTGCATTAGTTAACCACCTAATTAAATTTTAGGATATGCAAAAAGGATGAAAAGAATCTGTCATTCATTTCAGTCCTGAAGCACACACACTAATGCATGTAGTGTTAGACCGACATGATCAAGATGAAGCACCTGCTCGTCCTGTGTGGACAGGCTCATCCGAGTGAGTAGCCAGAGGGTGTGTTTGTGTGTGTGTGTGTGTGTGTGGCACACAGTGTAAGGTTCAGGCTATTGTATCAGACAGTTGCTTGGGACCGCCTAAGACTCTTACATTTTGTCCTTTCCAGTGATGAACAGAAATGGCAAAAATCAAGTTTCTACAAGCTTCAGAGAATACTGAGAGAGACAAATCAAAAGAGAGATCAACATTCCTCATGAAATGTTTCTTGAGCAGGAAATCATCATATTAGAACTGAGAGTTCTGAAGGATCATGTGACACTGAGTAATGATGCTAAAAATTCAACTTGACATCAGAGAAATAAACTACATTTTAAAATTGGGATTCAATTAATTTAGGTAAATACAGCCTTGGTGTAAAAATAAAATTAATAATAAAAATAAAAATCTAAAATAAATAAAATTACAGTAGCATAATCATTAATTAATTCATAATTTTTTTAAAAAAAAGAAGTATATATATATATATATATATATATAATTCTTTTTAAAAATAATGAATTCATTATATATATTATATATATATATATACATATATATTTATTCTTTTTAAAAAAAAATAATGAATTCATTAATGATTATGCTACTGTAATTTTATTTTGGGATCTGTAAGACACACACACACACACACACACACACATATATATATATATATATATATATATTGAATTCATTAATGATTATGCTACTGTAATTTTGTTTGGGAACTGTAAGATTTTTTACATTTTTTTGAAAGAAGTTTCTAATGCTGTGTATACACACACACACACACACACATTACAGTTCAAACAATAAATGTCTATTTTTCATTGAATAACAAAACAAACTATTTACAACAAACTATAAAAATAAAATAAAATTATAGTATATTCTATTTATATTATATACTGGAATTTAAATGATATAATGACAATTATATTGCAACACTGGCTGTAATGTCACTCCACTACAGCATAAATACATAAATGCATTTTTTTTCTGAAAAATGAGGACCTACATTCCAAAACATATGTTTATAACTTTCTACCAATGCCATAATGCTTCCAAGACCATCACAAATCAGTTAGACAGAACCTAATCTATGTCAGATAACGTTACTGTGGTGACATGTTCATTTACAACAACACCGTGTAATGCACCACAGTAAACTAAATGCATGTGTTTGCATAAAACACAATGAATGCAGCACTATAAGAACAATAAATGTAGAAAAACTGAAAAAGTGCAGGTCATTTTCTGCCACGACATATTCAGTTAAGTTTACAGACATTTCCTTTAACCCCAAAACACAACACAATGTAATGCATAATTCAAACTATAGGGGTAAAAAGCTGTGAATAATCAAAATGGAA